CGCCTATAGTTTCCAGGCGATCGCTGCGGGTGCCTACAGTGATTACATGAATCCGGCTATCAAGCTATACGACGACGACGGGAACGAACTGGCATCCGAATACATCAGCCATGAAGACTCGGACACCACTTCGGTATCCATTGCTCATCAGGTTGGCACGGGAGAAGCCGGAACCTATTACATCGATGTAACGAATGCCGATCTGTGGGACGACCCGGACAAGATGGCGAGCATCGGCATAACTGAGCCACTTGTACTATTTCCCCCGTTTATTTCTACGCGGTACTACGTGATTGCAGTGACCGTCAACAACAACAGTAGAAACTCGAGATCCGTCTCCCAAAACTCAGTATCCAACAATGCGGAACCCAGGATCTTGAACAAGAGGGAGGTTTCTTTGCTGGAAGGCACCGGCCTAGGCGAGCATATCGCCGCCTTCGACTCCGATGCAGAAGACTCTATAACCGACTATTCAATCAGCGGCGGGGTTGACCAAGAACTCTTTGCTCTCAGCAACGCTGGCGTCCTCTCCTTGACCGTAGTCCCAGATTTCGAGGTGCCTTCGGACGCCAACATAGACAACGTCTACGAGGTCCAGGTGGAAGTCACCAGCGGTTCTGGCGAAAGGGAACGCTCGGTAACTGCCGACTTCGCACTGACCGTCACCGACGACAATACGGAGGCGGAGAGAGTCCTGGTGTCGAACACCGGAGGGCGCAATAGCGGCAGTGCCACGGTCAACAACTCCGACTCCGCGCTGCGAATCGAAACCGGTTCGAACGAGGGCGGGTATGTAATTCACAGCGTCGCCCTGAGATTCTGGGAAGCATTGCAAGACCCGTCCGGAGTTCGGGTATCTTTGCGGTCTTCGCATAAGCCGGACGGCACACAAGGCCAAAGGACGAAATCTTTTCCTTTTCGAACCCAGCCAGTATTGATGCCCGGCTAACAGAATTCACAGCGCCGCCGGATACCGTGCTAGAACCGGACACAAGCTACTGGCTCGTGATCGAGAGAACAGGCGACACCCCAGTCAAGTTCCTGGAAACGGCGTCGAATTCGGAGGATTCGATCTCAGCAGCCGATTGGGACATCGGCACCTTGAGGTTTCATCGCACCAATAGCCTGAACGGGCCCTGGGGAAATAGCAAAGTTGGGAGTGACCAAGAACAGCTGAAGCTCAGAGTCATCGGATATGAACACAGCGGCGAGTAAGCCCCAGCCGACGCTCATTCGCGGGTCGGAAGTCCGCGACGGGGGTTGTCCTTTAGATCCGCAAACTGCAAGGCGCCGGGAGATCTTTGACTCCGAAATGGCAAAGGGCGGAGTCCTGGCTCCGCCCTAGTCGTTCACCGTTTGACACTACCCTCTAGCGGGCGGCTGTTGCGGGCTGATGCGCTTTTAAGAAATCCCGCACCTGATTAATTGCCTTGGCTTTTATCTCGGGATCCTCTTTCCAGGGATAGGGGGCGGCCTCCACCTTGGGTGCCAGCTCGATCATAGCCATAGCGGCCTCCAGCGAATGCGCCGGCGTGTCGTCCGGCATGACCAGCAGAGGCGTCTGGCACGAGCGGGCAAAGTCCCGAGTTACGCAATATACAAAGTCGGGCTGAATCCGGTACAGGTTGTGCAGGTACTGCTCGATGACTTCCATTGTCAGCCCCGGACGCTGGGCGATGAGGTCGGGGCCCCAGGAATCGATGCCCATGTCGTACATGGCGTCGGGAGTCTTGGATGCGTGCCCCACCGGTTGGCAGAGTACGGCAGCCAGGACTCTTTCGGGAGCCCTCTCAATGAGCTTCATGGCAAACGGGCCGCCGATGCAGTATCCAATGAACATGAATTCGTTAATGCCGAGGTGGTCCATCAATGCCAGCTGGTCGTCAGCGAAGGCACCCCAAGGGTCTTCGAGCTGAACCGGCCCAGTTGACTCGCCACCGATGGCGTTGCGCTGGTCCATTGTGACGCAGCGGAAGTCGTTCTTAAACTCCTCCATCGCGTCAAACACCTGACCGGGCCAGTTTTCGAGCTTGGAGTTCAAGCCGCCGCCGGGAGTTGCCAGCAACGGGAAGCCGGAGCCAGCCTCCTCGTAGCGGATCGTGACGTCGCCCTTGGTGAAATGCGGCATAGTAGTTCCTCCTTTGCCACTCAATTCCTTTTCCAATGACTGCAATTGTAGCTTGGGCCACCGGTGCGTCAAGGCGGACATCATCGGCTCTGTTTGCAGGAGGAGGTTCTCCAGCAGCCGACAATTCTTCTTTGGCCGCAATGCTCAGTACCTGGGCGAGAAAGTGATCCTGATTTACACACCTGCTTGGCTCTGGTTTAGTATGTCTGGTACCAACGACCATTTGATTTCGGCGTTACAGCCGCAGATGCCACGAACTTCAACTCAAGGTAGACGCTTGAGGCCGGGGGGCAGATGAACGCACAAGATGACACTCGCATTGAGGACAGGATAGTCGCGGTCCTGCGGCAACTGGGGATGGAGCGGGCCCATTTTGCCGCCCGGGGCCTCAACGACTGGCATGGGATAGTGGCCGGTATCCCGGACGTAGTTGCTTCCCTATCCCTGGTCTGCCCGCTGGGGTTTGATTCGCTGGCCCTCGCTCCCCTCTCTGATCGGTTACTCGTCTTCAACGCCGACCGGGGAGGCGCCTCGGAAACGATAGGCGAAAACATGGCGTCTCTTCCGTCCGCCTCGGTGGTTACCTTGTTCGACTGCAATTACCCCGACAATTACAACGACCTGGCGGCGCTGCGGGACGACGACATCCGGCCTGCCATGCTGGATTTCCTGGCCAGGATGGACGCCCGGGATGCCCCTGCCGGAGTTACAGCGTCCCTCAAGGAGGGCGAGGCGGACGGCATATACTTCAAGGTGCAGGGCTCAGGCCCCCCGCTAGTGTTGCTGCCGCTGGGAGCCGCGCCGTCCCAGTGGGGGCCGCTAGTCGCCTCCCTGGCCGAACGGTACTGCGTCGTTTCTCTCAGTGGGCCGGCCCTGGGCATGGTGGCCAGCCTCGAATCCAGAGGCCGCACGCCTGGCTACCTGGCCGCCGTGGGTAATCTCATTGCCGAGGCCAACATCCAGCCCGGAGAAACGGTCCTGGAGGTCGGCTGCGGCACTGGCGTGCTGTGCCGCTGGCTGGCCCGTCGGACAGCCGGGAACAACTCTATTGTAGGCATGGACGTTAACGCCTTCTTCTTGCGGGAGGCCGCCGAAATCGCGAGGCACGAGGGGCTCGAAGACGCAGTTAATTTCCGGGAAGGCAGCGCGGAGAAGCTCCCTTTCGATGACAACACCTTTGATGTTGCATTTTCCAGCACCGTAATTCAGCGGGTAAACGCTGATCTGATGCTGCCGGAGATGCTAAGGGCCACCAAACCAGGAGGCAGGGTAGCTGTGTTGGGACACGCCCACGACATGAACCGCTGGGTTAATCTGCCTTTGAGTCCCGCCCTGAAGGCTCGAATCGAGTCTCCTCCGTGGGTCGAGGACCGAGGTCATCCCCAGGGTTGCGACGATGCGTCTCTCTATCAACGGTTTTCCAGGCTGGGCTTGACGAATATGAGAATGTTCCCGTTCATCAGTACCTTCTCGGACAGGATGAGGCTTCAATTTCTGCAGGGTGGCATCCTGCCAACCCTTACGGCGGAGGAGGCCACTGAGTGGCGGTCGGCGGTGGAGCAGGCGGAATCCGACGGTACGTTCTTCATAGCAACACCATTCCATTGTGCGGTGGGCACCAAGCCATAGGGAGGCAGGATCCTCGCTTCAGCGCCGTTATGGCCGCAATTGCAGTCCATTCTTGCCCGAGGTTCGGGGGAGTTCAGACGATGTTCGGACGGGTAGCGGTCGAAGTGGGGCGCAATTTCGTCTCCGCAGGCTTGGCAGTTATCTCGCGTCGAGCTGATCGAGGTTTCTGAGGGCGTCGGTGCCTTTTCATAACCGCTTTCGGCTACTCGCGACGCTACCATAGGCGCAGCAGTGAAGGGCGCGGCAGGGAATTCTGACTTCAGGAACCTCGAAAGCAGCTTGCGGTTAAGGCCCCAGTTCTATGGCCAGCTTGCGATGGTTGCAGTGGTATTCCTGATTGCTGTTTCGTGCACTGGCAGCCAGGGTAATCAACCCATTGGAGGGACTTCCGAGATCAACGCCCTGCAAAGGGATGCGGACTTCCTCAGGGAGGATGTCAGTCAACTGAGGGCTGGCTCACGGGACATTGCTCAGTCGCTGGGTGAGTTGGAACGGGAATACCTGTCGCTTTACTAAGCCGCAGCATCACTAGAGGATTCGGTAGCCCAATTGCAGCGGGAACTTGCTGACTTGCGCCTGGAATTGGTGGAGCAGGCAACGAGGCTACCTGGTCTGTCCTCTCTGTCTTCGACCTCTCCTATACTTCCGTTGCCACGGACGCCACAAAACACAACGACGAGGCTACAGACGGTCGGTCGGAACAGAACCTTGCCAGCATTGACCAAACCATCTTCACCCTTCAGTTGCTACACGCCTCCGACATGGATGGCTCGATACGCGCCCTGGGCAATGTCGAAGGTTTCTCTGGTATTTTGGATGGCCTGCGCAGCCAGTTTCCTTCCAGCACCCTGGTCCTGAGTTCGCGGGACGATTTCATCCCCGGTCCTCGTTATTTTGCTGCGTCCGACGGGGCCAATGACCCCGTACTCGGTGTCTCCGGAGAGGGACGTGGGGCATTCAAATTCCTGTGGCCGAACTCCATTTTGTCCTTGGGCCTCACCCTTGACCGCTGATCGCACACTACCCTTGGTTCCAAGTTCCGTGAAAAACTGCCTGCGTCGTGACGCAGAGGACCGGCAGGGCCGCGGTCGGGTTTGGCACCGGTTCAACGGGGTAAGGAATGTTGTCCATCTCTGTCAAATTGCGCAACATTCCGGTGATTCGGATTTATTGGAGCCTGGGCGAGGGCAGCCATAATGGATTTATTTATAGCGCAAGGCACGGTGTTTGGGCTCCCACGCCTCAGGATCATCAGGATGCGATGCTGAAGATGTGTCATGAGGCTCGGCAAGCGGCTGCTGTCAGAAATCTGGAATGAGTTGTGGAAGTTGGGGGACATGCATTTCGGAGACAACGGAATAGCGGACCGTTAACCCGGCGAGTAGCAACGTCGCTCTGACTCACGCCGCCACTGGCAATCTGGGCGTCAACTGGTACAATCCCTGAAACATCCGAGTACTGACTCACCGTTGAATTGCCGAGCCAATCGTCCTGGGTGCAATCGGCATCAGCCTTGCGTAGGGACTGATCAATTAGGCGCAAGAGTGGCGACGGCCCGGTAAGCCACGGGTTTAGCAATGCACCAATGAGGGAGAGGAAAATGGCCACGCTTCAAAGCAATCACGCATACAGCATGGGTGAGCGATACGGCCAGCATCCCGACGACGGTGAGTATCCGGGAAGGCTTATTATCGTCGAAGGTATAGATGGTTCCGGAAAGAGCACCCAGGTAGACCTGCTGCAGAAATGGCTCAGGAGCCGCAATCTCGTCACGGTGTTCACCGAGTGGAACTCGTCTCCAATCGTCAAGCGGACTACGAAACAGGCGAAGGTTAACGAACTCCTCACCCCCATGTCTTTCAGCCTGATCCACGCTGCAGATTTCGCCAGCCGAGTGCACGCCCAGATATTGCCCGCACTGCGGGCGGGGGCGATTGTCCTTGCTGACCGGTACGTCTATACAGCCTTCGCCCGAGACGCGACACGGGGCGTGAACCGGGACTGGGTGCGGCGGATCTACTCCTTTGCCGTGCAGCCCACTCTCGCCTTGTATTTCAGGGTCCCGCTGGACGTGTCGATTGAACGGATCGGCTCTGGACGTGCGGACATGAAATTTTACGAGGCCGGCCAGGACATGGGGTTCTCCAACAACCGTCAGGAGTCATTCCGTATTTTTCAAAACAAGCTTCTGGACGAGTACGAGGGAATGACCGAGGAATTCGGCCTGATTACCATCGACGCCACTCTGCCGATAGCGGTGCAACAACAGCAGGTCCGACGCTACGTTGAACCGCTGATTGAGGACTCGATGGAAGTGGGCGGGCAAAGCGTTCCCGAGGCGCTGGGCCATGCGGGATTGTCGGGACGCTACATCACCGATCCGCCCCGGCGGAGACTGACAGAGCAGGACATACTCCGCTTGGAAAGAAGCAGGGATTAAGAGCCCAGGTTCCGTCGGAGCGTCACAGCGAGAGCGGTGAAATGAAAACAATGAGCTTCTATGGTCACACTCCACCCGGAATGGGAGAAGAACCCGTTCCCGGTCGAATCATCGTGGTGGAGGGGACAGACGGGGTTGGTCGTTCAACCCAGATCGCAATGCTCCAAGAGTGGCTGGAGGCCGAGGGGTATGCGGTGCTGGTCTCCGGGTTCCGGCGTTCCGAGGTGGCCGCTTCGGGCATAGACCGGGCCATGCGCGGGAACACGCTCGACGCGCTCACACTGAACCTGCTATACGCCACAGACTTCTGGGACCGCATGGAGAGGAGCATCGTGCCGGCGCTGCGAACCGGCATGGTGGCCCTGGTAGACCGGTACATCTTTTCGATTATCGCCAGGGCAAGGGTGCGAGGGGTACCGTTGGGCTGGTTGAACGATGTTTTTGAATTCGCCCTGGTGCCGGACCGGGTCCTCTTTCTGGACGTAGACGTGGAGCACCTGTTGCCCCGGGTACTCTCGGTGCGGCAAATGGACCACTGGGAATCAGGCGAAGACTTTCTGCGTGGCCCCGACCTGTACGACAACTTCATACGATACCAGGCGGCATTGATCAAGGAGTTCCGTGGTCTGGCCAAGCAGCACAATTTCGTAATGGTCGATGCCCGAGGGACGGTAGGCGAAGTATTTCGGACTCTCCAGGGCGAGGTGAGAGAGGCCCTGAAGGATATGGGATCGGAATAGGACTGACACCACGCTTCCAGCAAGTAAGTAGTTTGCGGCCTCTACCAAATGGTGGAGGCCGCAGTGTTATTCTGCCGTCTCGATTGGAGCGGCTTTCGCCCCTGTGTTCAACGGCCACGATTCAATTGCCAGGTCCTACAGAGCCTGAGACAACTCGGAGGCACAAGGCGTCAAGACTGCTTATGCAACACAGGCATTGGTCCCAAGTGAGTCTCGGCACTTGTGCGGATCAAGGCCAGCAGTGGCGTGGCTTGTGTAAGCATCCATCAACAATGGTAAGTCTGCGCTATCAGGTCCAGCAGCGTGTGGCTGTCGCGGGAGAATCCAAATGAGACTGCGCTTGAAGAATACAGAAAGCGACCATCTGGAGTAGCATGAACACCTCATCCCGCCGCGCTGTCGAGCGACGGAACTCGCAGTCCAGGAGCCAGTCATGACTGTTCGCCCAACGCCATCTCCTGAGGGGAACCCCACTCCTGATTCCTCAAACTACGCTGAAATGTCCCCAGTGCTGGGCCCACCTGTTGCCGGGGAGCGGGCGCACAGTTCCACCCATCACGGGATTACGATCGAGGATCCGTGGCACTGGCTTCGTGACCCCGGCTATCCAGACGTGGAAGACCCCGACGTGCTGGCGTATCTCAATGCCGAGAACGCGTTCTTCGAAACCTCAATGGCGCCCCAACAGGAGCTGATAGACGCTATTTTTGAAGAAATCAAGGGACGGCAGCAGCCTGACCTGTCCAGCGTGCCCTGGAGGAGGGGAAATTGGTATTACCAGTGGAGCTTCCAGGAGGGCAGTCAATACCGAGTCTGGCAGCGCTGGCCAGCCAACAGCGCTGATGATCGAACTGGCCGACTGCGCACGCCGAGACAATACTGGACGAGCCAGCACTGGCGAAGGACTTCGAGTACTTCCGCCTGGGCTCCGCATCGGTGAGCAACTATGGTTCCCTGCTGGCTTACGGCACAGACACCGACGGCTCTGAACGGTTCCGGATGGTGGTGAGGGACCTGGGTTCCGGAGAAATGCTTGACGATGAGATTGCCGGAACCATGGGTAGCGCCGTATGGGCAGCGGACGACGGATCGTTTTTCTACACGCTGGTGGACGAGAACTGGCGGCCGTGGCAGGTCCGCCGGCACGTGATGGGGCAACCCGTTACCCAAGATGCAGTTGTATACGAGGAGACGGACCCGGGATTTTTCGTGGGGCTATCGAACACGACATCTCGCGAGTTTATTCTCATCGGCTCTGGCGACCACGTGACATCCGAGGTCTGGCTGATACCAGCGACGGCACCGGAATCCGCTCCCCTCGTCGTATCTCCCCGGCGGACCGGCCACGAATATTCGGTGGACCACCAGGGGGACCGCTTCGTCATCCGGACCAACGACACCCACAAGAACTCCCGCCTTGCGACGGCCCAGCAGGACGATCCTAGCGAAAGAACCTGGACTCCCTTGGTGGATGCCTCAGACGAGCACTACACCCGCGCCTTCAAGACCTTTCGGGACTTTATAGCCGTCGAGGAACGCATAAGCGGACTGGACCACATTCGCCTTGTCAATAACGCTGGGGAAACTACTTACGTACAGTTCCCCGAGTCGGCCTACCGCTCATCTGGACACCAACCCGGAATTTGAGACGGACACGCTGCGGCTTGAATACTCATCGATGGTGACTCCGACGACCGTGTTCGATTATCACGTCGGCTCCGGGGGAAGTGGAGATTCGCAAGGTTCAGCAGATACCCAGCGGCTACGAGGCCTCTGAATACGTTACGGAAAGGATGTTGGCGGACGCTCGTGACGGAGCTCGGGTCCCAATATCGATCGTCCGGCACCGAGAAACGCCGGTCGACGGGACTGCTCCCCTGTACCTCTACGGTTATGGGGCCTATGGCCTCGCTATGCCTCCCTCCTTTTCCACCACGCGTCTTTCGCTGCTGGACCGGGGTTTCATTTTCGCCATTGCACACATCCGTGGCGGGGACGACCTAGGATACCATTGGTACGAAGCAGGCAAGCTGGACCAGCGCTCCAATACTTTCAATGACTTCGTAGACGTTGCCCGTCACCTCCTAGGGGGGGGGTACGGATCGGAGGGACGCATCGCGATCGCCGGGGGCAGCGCCGGCGGGCAGCTGATGGGTGCAGTGGTGAACCAGGCACCGGAGCTGTGGGGTGCAGTGGCCGCACATGTCCCGTTCGTCGACGCGCTGAACACGATGCTGGACGACAGCCTGCCGCTCACGCCCATCGAATGGCCCGAATGGGGCAATCCCATCGAGGACAAGGCCGCCTTCGATTGCATCCGGTCGTATTCTCCGTATGACCAACTGAAGCCGCGCGACTATCCTCCGATACTGGTCACCGCGGGGTTGAACGACCCCAGGGTTACCTACTGGGAGCCAGCCAAGTACGTGGCCAAGCTGCGGACGCTGAAGACGGACAGCAACCCGCTGCTACTGAAGACAAACATGGGCGGGGGCCACGGGGGACGGTCGGGGCGCTTCGACCGGCTGTACGAGGTGGCTGAGGAGTATGCCTTCATGCTGGCGAGCATGGGGCTGTTGGAGTAGTCCGGGCGGGGCGAACTAGTTCCAAGGGCCTGTTCGTAGTGTCGGAATCGGGTATGTGCGGCCGCCGCCCTCAGGGCCGGATTGCGCCGCTTCCCTAGGTTCTTCGAGATATTGTGGCCTAGCTAATCCGGAGCGGCGACACTATGGTGGGGAGACCCATCGCCCGCAGGCCTGGGGTCAAAGCAGGTTGCCCTGTACATGTCCGCTCTGAGAGACAAGGCAGCGTAAGCGCTGTGTATCCGGATTTTTTATTCAATATCCGATCAAATCCGATCATTTCCAGTCATTTTAGGCCTGCAACCCTGAACCAGACGAATACTCCTTGATTCCCTGAGGGTCGTTTTCATTAATATCTATGCTAGCCGGGAGTAGCCGAAAGACGCAACCAGCAACTGTCATCAATCAGGGCAATCGCGTCTTATTACTCAGCACAAATAATTGGTCTGAATGGCGGTGGATATGGGAGTGGGAGTGGGAGTGCCTCCTTCGGTTCCAGGTGCGAGGGTAGACGGGGGTTTGGATTCCCGCCTGCGCGGGAATGACGACTTATAGGGCCTCCGGCGTTTAAGACGCGATTGCCCTGGTCATCAATTTGGCGCCGACCCTGCGAGAACGAGGATCCGAAATGGGCCATTGCTGTTTCCGTAGTCGGGGCTCGCGTGGACCGTCGCCTCGCGGAGTTTGCAGCATTGCCGGGTTAGCGACGTGGGGTGCAAGTAAGTTGCAGCAGATATGGGTGGAGGGTTGGATACAGGAATGAGATCCCTGCGTGGCTCAACCCAAAGCTTGTCGAATTGAAGCAGAGGGTGGTAAAAAACCGGAACAGATCTGAAACGCATTCACTGAAGGAGTTTGGAAATGGCCCGTTTGGAAGGAAAAGTGGCCGTGATCACCGGCGCAACAGGCGGTATAGGCAGCGCAGCGGCAAGGTTGTTTGCCGAGGAGGGGGCACGGGTGGCGCTGGTCGATCTTGATGAGGCCGCATTGCAGCAGGCGGTGGGGTCAATCGGCGAGGACAAGGCGAGTTACACCGTTGCGGACGTCACTCAACCGGAGCAGACCCAAGCCTATATCAACGCAGCCGTAAGCCGCTGGGGCGGTGTCGACGTGCTGCTGGCCAAGCTGGCATTGAGGGAAGCCTTTCTCCAATTACCGACTATCCAGTCGACGTTTTCGAACGGGTAATGGCGGTGAATGTAAAGGGGGTCTGGCTGGGCATCAAATACGCGGTCCCCGTGATGCGTGAGCGCGGGGGAGGCAGCATTGTCATCACCTCGTCCACTGCCGGGATTGGCGGGACACCGGAAATGTCGGCCTACAATACCAGCAAGCACGCCGTTATCGGCCTGATGCGCACGGCGGCACTGGAGGGTGCGCCGGATGGCATTCGGGTCAACACCGTGAACCCATCGCCCATCGAGACCCGGATGATGCGATCGATCGAGGAGATGCGTGTGGCGGCGTTCGACGACTCGACCGTTACGGTTGATGTGGCGAAGCAGGCCTTCGCCGACCGCATACCACTGCAACGCTACGGAAACCCCGAGGAAGTGGCGCGGATGATGCTGTTCCTATCAAGCGACGACAGCAGCTTCTGCACGGGGGGTGTCTACATGGTGGACGGCGGCAGGTCGGCGGGGAGCAGATAGTTTCTCCTACCCAGCAAGTGCGCCGCCAAATCCGGCCTCTTTTCCGGCATCGTGGAAATCGCTCATTCCAGGGAGGCGAAATCATGGCAACTTCAGTGAAGGGACGAATAAGAGTCGGCACTCTGGAACAGCTACAGGAGCGCGGCTGCACAGTGGTCACGGGAGGTGGACACGCCATAGCCGTATTTCACCACGACGGCGAGGTCTATGCGGTCGACAATCGCTGCCCACACATGGGCTTCCCCCTAGACCGGGGCAGCGTCAGCGACGGCATTTTGACCTGCCACTGGCACCATGCCCGCTTTGACCTCTCCAGCGGCGGCACTTTCAATCCGTTTGCTGACGACGTACGTGGTTTCCCGGTGTCGGTGGTGGACGGCGAGGTGTGGGTCGACCCTAATCCTGCGCCCCGAGACGAAGGCCGGCATTGGCGGAGCCGGCTGGAGGATGGACTGGAGCACAACATCCGCCTAGTCATCGCCAAGTCCGTCCTGGGATTGCAGGCGGCGGGAGCGGACTACCGTGAGTCGCTGGAGACAGGCGCCCGGTTCGGAACGACCTATGCGGCTAACGGGTGGGGTGCGGCCATGAGCATCATGACCTGCACCGCCAACATCCTGCCACTGCTTCACGAGGAGGACCGCCCAAGGGCCTTGTATCAAGGAGGGCTTCGGCACGTTGCCAGGGAGTGTGCTGGCAAAGCCCCACGTTTCTCAGTGGAGCCCCTGCCGACCGGAGAAACCCGTCCCGAGGTCTTTGCCAGATGGTTCCGAAATTTTATCGACGTTCGGGACGACGAAGGAGCCGAGCGGTGCCTGATCACCGCGATCGAACTGGGTTTCTCCAAGAATGAAATTGCCGACATGATCTTTATGGCCGCCACCGACCATATCTACCTCGACGCTGGGCACGTGGTGGACTTTGCCAACAAGGCGTTCGAACTCCTGGATCACCTCGGGTGGGAGATGGCCTCCCAGGTGCTGCCCAGTCTCGTGCACGGAATGGCGAGGGCACGGCGCAGCCAGGAGCTCAGCCAGTGGCGGCAGCCCATCGACTTGGCCTCGCTGGTTTGGCAAGCCAGGGCGGAACTGCCGGTGTTGCTAGAGCAGGGTCGCGCCCACTACGGAAGCTGGGATGGGGAAGAATCACTGGCATCCCATATTCTGGGAGACTCCCCGGGCGAAATTATCGAGTCAATCAAGACGGCCATTGCAGAGGGGGCTACCCCAGAGAAAATCGGGTCTGCAGTGGCCCACGCCTCTTTCCTGCGAATGGCCCACTTTCACCTTTCGAACGAGTTCCGGGACTGGGACACGGTGCACAACACCCTCACGGCAGCGAACTCGCTGCACCAGGCGTTGCGGCGCGCGCCGACGCCTGAGCTGCTGCGTGGGGCCTTCGACGTGGCCATCAGCATATATCTGGACCGTTTCCTCAACATGCCACCCCAGCGAATCCCCGACGCCACACCAAGCCCTCTGCCGGGACCAGAGCAGCTTGACCGGCTCCTGGAGATGGTGGACGTGCGCCAGCAGGTGGGAGGAGTCGGCGCAGGCTGTGTCAGGCTACTTGGCTGGCGATTGCCCACCCGAGGGTATACTGGCCACCCTGGGCCGGATGATGCTGAGGGAGGACGCGGATTTCCATTCGTTCCAGATCGTAGATGCGGCGTTCAAGCAGTTCGAAACGCGAAGAGGAACGGAATCCGGCCGCCACGTTTTGATCGCTCTGTCGCGATTCCTGGCCGCACACTCCCCCACTCCCAGGGCGGAGGGCCAGACCTATCAGATCGCGCTCCGCCTGCAGCGCGGGGAGGAGATATACCAATAACCCTGGGTATTGCCTTTTCCCCAGCTCAGCAGGCCCGTGGCGCCTGGGTCATGGGCATTGAGGCCGGATGTGCGGGCCATCAAGGGAGGTAGTGGTTGCGAATCCTGATCGTTGGTGCCAGCGGGTTCATCGGGCGATACCTGATTCGACGCCTAGGCGATCTGAATGGCCATGACGTTTTTGGGACGTTCTTTTCGCGGCCACCCGCCGCCGATGGTAATTCCTGGCACCGGGTGGATCTTACCGACCGCTCCGAGGTAGAGCGGCTGTTCCAGACCTCCCGCCCGGAGGTGGTGGTCCACCTAGCGGCCATGGCGGATGTGGGAGCTTGTGAAAGAGACCCCACAGCCGCCACCTCGATCAACGTCGATGCGACTGCAACGATTGCGCGGTTGTGCCGACAAGAGGATGCCAAGCTGATCTTTGTTTCAACGGAGTATGTATTTGATGGCCTGAGAGGGTTCTACTCGGAGGACGATGCACCCAATCCCACCACCCACTACGGCCGCACCAAGCGGGAAGCTGAGAGGGAAGTAGCAAGGTTGGCCTCCAACTGGAGTATCGTCCGTACCAGCATCGTTTACGGTTGGCCAGCTCCGGGCAGGCGGAATTTCGTTACGTGGCTGATCGAACGCCTGCGCAGCGGACAACAGTACGTGGGGTCCATCGAGGTGCTTCGTACGCCCGTTTACGTGGAGCACCTCGTGGACGGAATCTCTGCCCTGGTAGAGGCCGACCACCAGGGCATTCAACACGTGTCAGGCAGGGACTGGGTAAGCATGTTTGACTTTGCTCTCGCTGTCGCCGAGGGCTTTAATCTGGATAGAAACCTGGTGGTCGCTGAAAATACTGCCCCCGGAGGCCCCGAGAGCAAGGATATTACGGCTTCCGAGAGGCTGGGCCTGGATAGCACCTCGACAATGCGAGCCCTCGGGTTGCCTCAACCGGGACTCACCGAAGGTCTGGCGGCAATGCGGGCAGCCTCAGAGAGCAAATGACGATCGGACTCGGGGGTTGCCCCGTCTTCACGTCCTTTAGTTTTGCCAGCAACATTCCAAATTGCGACAGCCGGGTAGAGCCCGGGCTAGGGCAGGTACTTGTCCTCCATCTCCCTGATGCGATCCGCACCCAGGATGCCGCCGTTGCTGGCCACACCCCACCTGCTCTGAGCGGCGGACGCCAGGAAGTCGTCGATGGCACCGGTGCCCCGCTCCTGGAAATCGTGGAGTAAGTCCCAGGACGCCTGCAGTCCTGCCATTGTGGTGAGGGATGGATACCAGGCCGCGGCGGCGCCCGCCTCCTGCAACTCCTCAAGAGTGGGATGGGTCTGGCTGCCGTGGGTAAACAGGGGGAGCACCGGTCCGGGAATGCGCCGGATGGCCTCCTTGTTGTCCTCCCACGATGACACCGCGGGACAGACGACGTCCGGGTTGGCCTGGCTCTTGTAGGCCAGGCAGCGCTCCATTACGCCCTCGAAGGTCGACCCGGGCACTCCGGCGAAGTCGCACCTGGCCACGATGACGAAGTCGGGATCGAATTCCATCTTGGCATCCATTGCGGACCTTAGCTTGCCGACCATCTCCTCGATGGAAACGCAGCGGCGGCGCGGGCCGGTCTTGGGCGGGTATGTCTGGTCTTCGAGATGGGTGCCGGCTATTCCGGCGCGAATGTATTCCTTCACCGTTTCGTAGACCGTGATTGCGTCGCCGTAGCCAGTATCCATATCGCAGAACACCGGGATTTCGACCGTATTCACGATGCGCCGGGCGTTGTCCACCATATCGCGCATGCTGGTGCCGCCCTCGGTCCAGCCCATCAACTGGGCCGAGGTGTTTCCGCCGGACATGTAGAATGCCTCGTACCCCGCGACTTCGGCCATCTTCGCGCCCATGGCGTTCATTCCACCGGCGAGCACGAAAATCTCGGGCCGTTCGAACAGTTCCTTTAAGCGCGTCGTCATGCGTTTTTGTTCAGGCATATTCCTTCCCTCTCCTGACCGTTCTCGATTGGTGGAAATTCATTGATTGGCAATTCGTGTATGTCTTGAATCACTAGACAGGGAGCACTGGCTCGGGTCCGCCTTCGGGGAGATCGATTTCGAACGAGTTGGCGTTGTAGGCCAGCGTGGTGTAGTAGCCCATCATGGTCGTCAACTCAACGAGCCACCTGGTACCGATTTGCTGAACCGCGTTCTGGTAGGTCTCTGAGCTGACCCGGTGGTTGTTGAACATTTCTGTCGAGTAGCCCACCAAGGCGGCCTCGTCCGCGGGCATATCCGGCAGTGGCTTACGGTCGCGCAGGTTGTCGACCAGTTCGTCGCTGAGCCCCTGCTGGCGTCCCCTAGAGGCGTGGGCGTACCAGATGTATTGGCAGTCCATGTGGCGGGCGGTCAGCAGCATGGCGAGTTCCTGCAGCTTGTGAGGCAGATCCGTGACTTCGCGGAAGTAGCCAACGAAGTGGTTCGCCCTCCTGCGCAATTCTGGACTGTAGATCATAACGGAGCCAGGTCCGGACTCCACCACTCCGCCGCTTTCTGCTGTTTCGGCGTCGAATGCTTCCAGGAACTGAGCTGGGGCCTGATCCCTGGTCAAAACGGATAACCGTGCCATGTCGCACCCCTTTGTCGCTTGATTGTTGTGAACCCTATGGAGGGCCCCATTATAGCCCCGGCCCATAGAAGGCCGGGGCTAGGCGAGTTGGGAATGCCCTGCTCTGCGGAAGGATTAGCCCGGAGGGACGTTGCTCTGCACAATTGCTGACGAGGCGTTCACAGGCCACCGCCCGGTGGTCGTTATCTTTCCTTGGCCAACGCATTCCAGGTGGAGATGCTGCGTCGGGGTATTTGGGGGCAGACGAAAAGAGTCTGTCGAATTACAGCAATCATTTGCTGAGTATTTATATTTCTGTGTATATAATATCGTTATTATTATCACAATATTGTTTCTATTATTATTATTACGACGTTATTAGTCTTGACTGTGCTATTTAGTAACCAATACCATAATCCCCTATTGCTATCTGGCGTCGGTCTGAGTGGGCCTTACGGTTGTTTAGCCAGGAGGAATGGTCGGCAAAAGGCCCTCTAAAGGCAAGAAAACCTCGAAGGCGTGGGCAGAATTCAGGTGGACCCCGAAGTAAGAGAGGTGAGGACATGGTAAAGCTTCTGTTAGTAGGACTAATCGGCATGCTGATCGGAGTGTTTGCAGCCTGTGGAGGAAACGGGGATAGTGGAAATGTGGGCGGACAGACTGCCCCAGCCACCCAAGCAACTGCCGCCACAGCCTCCGAGGCCGCTAGTACCTCCAGCACCGAGGCCAACGAGCCGGAGTTTAGTATCCAATACACGGCCATCACCCGTACTCACCCGACTTTCGAGGCCATGGAGAGGTTTGTCCAGAGGGTCGACGAGCGCACCGACGGCCGGGTAGAGATAAATATGAACTCTTATCCGGAACTGGGCATCGCCGGGCCGGACACCCTGGGCCTTCTGAAAAACGGGACACTATCCTTCGCGATGATTTACAGCGGATACGTTGCCGGAGAATTCCCGCTGATAGAGATGGGCGAGCTGTGGGGTGTGTATCCCGACGCCGAAACTCAGGGCAAGGTCATCCGTGCCGTCCGCGAGGACGAAGTCAGAATGATGCGTGAAGAATTCAACTCCCAGGTCATCCTCTACGAATTCTTCGAGAACCAATTCATCTTCAGTAAGACACCAGTGAACACCGTCGAGGACCTTGAGGGGTTAAAAGTCCGGAGTCACAGCGCCTCATTAAGCGACCTTCTCGACGGACTGAACATGGACGCCCAGTTCGTCGCCTTCTCCGAGGTGTACGTGGCACTGGAAAGGGGCATCCTTGACGCGGGTGTTACCGCCGGCTCTGCCGGGTTCGGCCAGAGATGGTACGAGGTAACAGACTACTTGGTGGGGCCGATAGAGGCGCGGGGCCACGTGATCCTTGCCATGAACCTGGACCAGTGGAACAAACTCCCCGAAGACATCCAGCAAATACTGTTGGAGGAAGGGCAGAAGACCGAGGAGGAGACTTGGAACGGCACTGAAAGCTGGACCCGCGATTCAATCGATGCCAACGTCGCAGCGGGTATGGAGTACGTGGATTTCAGCCCAGAGATCCGGGAAGCCATCGGGCAAATCGCTATGGAGAGGGTGTTGCCCAACTGGGTCAAGCGGATTGGCGGCCCAAATACCGTAACCGCCGCAATCTTTAATGACAAGGTGGCTCCTTTAGTAGGGGTGACAATTGACCCCGACGGCACCGCCAAGCTCACCAGTGCAGCTCCGTAACCTGGAACTGAGGTTGTACCATTCGCTAAGTTAGTGGAATAAGCGCTGGCCTTATCCCATTTTCTCTACCAAGCCTGGCGCGAGTCTTGTGGGTCGATCCGCTATTTCTGCCAAGTTCGGCGAACTCTCGTGGGGAGAGGTTCCCTAGCGTGATGGGGGGCCTTTCCCCATTGCATTGTCTCCGACAGGATTCCAAAGTCTCCTCATCATCCTACTGGGACAGGTACTCCTTCTCGTTCAGGCACTCCTGCCTAAATGCCACTTGGCTACCACGGAGAGGGCGTCGCCTGTGGTGGGTTTTCCCGGGTGGCTGAAGTCCAATTCCATCCCGTTCAGGTAGGCCTCCCACTGTTCCAGTTGCCTCGGGGCCATTGTCCACCCTGATGGTCATTGGAAGCCGGCGCAGGCCCCCACGTTCACCTCTCCTCTGATGCCGGACTACGCTGGGCACGTGGGAGTCGGGATGCTTAGACTCTCACGGCTATGGTTATGGACTATCGTTGAGAGCCGGATCCGACGCCTGCCCTGTAGGTCTTCGCTCATAAATCACGTGGACCAATTTTCGCCCTACCCAGCGGCCGGCGGCGGCTCCGTCCGCCTCTGGCACGACATGTGCCGCTTTGCTTTCTTGTTCCTCAGCATCAGGCCCTCCTGGCAATAGAGCCGGTAGACCCGCTTGTGATTCACCGCCCAGCCCTTGCCCTATTCGGTGAGTTAACCTCGCAGGCCCGGACTTCGCCTACGGCGTAGGAGACCTGCAGGTATTCCGCCCGGGGCCGCAGCTTGCAGGGGTGAATTCGTGGCGCATACCAGGACGTTTGCTTGTCCCAGGACAGGTGGGCCGCCCGGTGATTCAGCTTGCGGTTCTCCATCGAGAGGACCCGCAGCCGCGTGACCTCTGCAGCTCCCGTGCGCTGGGTTTTTCCTTCCTCGGTAGCCGGTCTGCTGGCAAATACCCACCTTGCGGTTGGCCTCCTACACCGGCGTGCCCCTCCCGTTGGCGCAGGCGGAAGGCGACCCGCCCCGGGCTGTCCCCGGGCCCTTTGTCGAATTGTTCTGGTCAGGTTTGGTCGTGATGAACGGACCAGCAAATGGCATTGCGGCCCTACGGAGCGGGGAGGTGTCATTCCCGTAACTCTTGCGTTGATTGGGGCGCCGAGTTGCCCGCAAAGTCTGTTGGGGTCTCCTCCAGGCTGCGGGGATGGTGGTACAAGCGTTCCGAAATCTATGGAGCCTTCTTTTTGCCCGCTGGTTAGTCAGGACAGTGCTGCCGGAGATTCGACGGCCACTATTAACCACAGTTTTCTGATTCTGTTTATACAAATTCACCACACAATATTCACGAACACGTCGAGTGTTTCCACGATATTTATATAAGTGCCCGATATCTTTGTATCACACCTAAAAGTCTTTATTCACTAAAGGAGTACGACAATGCTATAGCCATTCTCCGATCAGCTAGTGATTAATAACTAGTAGAACTTTCCGGCTCCACATTGCTCTATCTACCGGACGCTCCATTTCACCGGATCGAGTAATGAGCAATAGCCAAGCCGAGTTGGCTCAAATTGATCATATTTGCCTGCCTGATTCAGCGTTGTTGCTCTCCTTTTATCGATTGCCGTGCAACGAGATCGCAGATGAAATTGTCGTGCCATTTTCAATCGAAGTATCTCAACTGATTGCTCCAACTACAAATTGATAACAAAACATTCACCGCCAAGGATGAACGAAATGGGAGCACTACTTTCCTTTCTAAATTTTCGCCGGCTATTGATCATTATCAGTGGGGCGACGGCAATAGTGATTTTTGTATTGACCCAAGAAACAGCAAGCGCGACGGTGCCGATTCCATCACAGACTTTCGCACTCGCCTCCGGCCATGACGACCCAAGGGGAATGTGGGGCTACCAGAACACTCTCTGGGTTGTGGAGAATGATCAGCCGAATAATCAGCAGAGGATTGTTACCTACAATGCTGTCACCGGACAACGACTTTTGAATGGGGAATTCTACCTGAGTGGGGACAACATAAAGCTACAAGGCATCTGGTCCGACGGCACGGTGATGTGGGCCGCCGACTGGGACGACAAGAAACTTTACGCTTATCAATTGGACAGGCAAAGCCCGAACAACAATCAACGACTTCCCAACCGCGACATTTCACTGGCAGGCAGAAATGACGGGCCAAGAGGAGTGTGGGGGGTTGGCACCACAATTTTCGTTGTAGACAAGGACGATACTTACGTCTATGCGTACAGCACCACCGACGGGAGTCGTTTGAACGACCAGGAAGTTCGACCTTCATGGCGACAACGACCACCCGTGGGGTATCTGGGGCGAAGGCACGAGGGTGTGGGTCAGCGACATCGATGACGACATGCTGTACGTCTACGAGAGGGATCCCAATTCCTCCGAGCACGGGGACCGCGTTCCGACCCTAGAAATCAGATTGCCGAACGGAAATGGCGACCCCAGGGGCATCTGGTCCGATGGCGAAGTGATGTGGGTAGTTGACAATGAAAACACCGAGATTTACGCGATGCATCTCCAAGACTTCAGACACTCTGGAGACGAATTCGGCATCGCCGCCCCTGTTACGCCCACCGGCCTATGGACCGACGGCGAGACCATGTGGGTCGCAGACGCAGGAAGGTCTGACTACGGCAAATTACTCGCCTACAATTTGAGCGATGGGACACGGAGCTCGGGAGAGGATGTGCAGTTGACGAACACTAACCTGGAACCGGTCTCAATGTGGTCGGACGGTACAACCGTTTGGGTAGCGGAGGACGGACAATCCAACGATTTCCTGTACGCCTATGCCATGGACCCTGAATCCGACAAAATCGGACAGCTTGCACCCTATAAGTCGATCACTCTGCATTCGGACAACGCAGACCCCGTGGGAACCTGGTCTGACGGGGAGTTCATCTGGGTCTCTGACTCCGCGGACGAAAAGCTCTATGCATACGACCTTGCCAACAGGGCCCGGCAGGCCGACAGGGATATAGACCTTCACAACAATAATGCCGACCCCGCAGGAATATGGTCCGACGGCAAGACCGTCTGGGTCATGGACACGGAGGACAAGCACGCCTACGCATACAGCCTTAACAACGGGAACCGGAAGCGGTTCCGGGAATTCTGGACCGTTCCGGACAACGACGACCCCGGTATCGGACTGACTGGCCATGGCCTTCGATTCTGGGTGGCGGACGGCGAAGACGAAAAGCTCTACGCCTATGGGAAACTCAACACTCCACCAACCTTCAACGAGACCTCAGCGAGCCTCAAGATTCATCGCCTCGCCGCCGCAGGGGATTACGTTGGTTCGGTTCCCCAGGTAACGGATCCCGACGGAGATACCATTACCTACCTGCTGTCCAGCGGAGGCCTAGGGGTGTTCCGCCTCGACTATCAGACGGGAGAGATTTTCGTAAGGAACGACGCCACCGGCTTCTCCGGCGGAGAGGAATACACCCTCACCGTGTCCGTGACCGACAGCAAGAGCGGCCTTGACGGGCTGGACCCCGACCCGGACGACGCCATCAACGTGACGATAAGCGTGACTCACAATGCCGACCCCGAATTCACTACTGCCGACGGCACAGTCTTCACTGTCGCCGAAGACGTAGAGCAGGACGAATCCATCGCTCAGCTCGGCATCACCGATCTGGATGACGATACCCTGTATTTTGGCTACCAAGTCACACCCAACAATCCTTTCTCTCATTTACAGGGAACGTTCATGCTTTTGAATGGCAGAACCCTGGACTACGAGAGCACGAATTCCTACAGAATCAAAATACAGATCAGCGACAATAAAGATGAGTCAGGGCAAGAGGATCTCAGCTGGGATGATGAGTTAGACTTCACGATAGAGGTGACTAACGTCGGCGAGAGCGGTGAGATTATCCTGGGCAGCGCCCATCCGCAGGTGGGTACCGAGATCGTAGCCACACTAACGGACCCGGACAACGTAGATCTGTCCAATGGGAATCAGATCAACTGGGTAGTGGAGAAAAGCTCGAACACGACCACCTGGGTCGAAACCTCCAACAGAGATACTGACAGCACACTATACAGGTACACACCTGTGACCCATGATACAGCTATGTACCTGCGATTCACGGCGACTTACAAAGACGGCTACGACAGCGTAAATTCGAAGACCATTTATACACAGACTGACAACGTAGTCCTGGCCGAACCTCCATCCAATAGTCCGCCAACATTCACGGAAGACCCTCCCGTTACCCGTTCAATCGCCGAGAATGCCGCAGGGGGCAGCTATGTGGGGGCTCGGGTAACGGCAAGTGACCCCGATGCGGACACCATCACCTACATATTTTCCAACTACTTTACAGTCCATTTTGAGGGTGACTCCGAAACCGGGCAGATAGTCTTGATTGATGATGCATCGCTGGACTACGAGGAGCTTCAGACCCACTACGTCCGCGTGATTGCGCAGGACAAAAAGGATCGATTCGGCAATTCGGACGAGTCATATGACACATCCAGGCTGGTTACAATAAGTGTGACCAACGTCGAAGAGCCGGGAAGCGTCGCGTTGTCGTCCGATAGTCCCGAGGTGAACGGGGAGATGACGGCGGAACTCAGCGATCCCGACGGCTCGATCACCAATCTCACGTGGCAATGGCAGACAGCCGCTAGCGCCGAGGCCGTTACGTGGTCCGACATCAGCGGTGCAACGTCGGACAGCTACACGCCCGTAGTGGGAGATACAGGCAAGTACCTGAGGGTCAAGGCGTCCTACGATGATGGCGAGGGAACTGGCAAAGAGGCTCTTGGCACCTCGGCTGATGCAGCCGTGCGCATAGACAATGCACCTCCCACGTTCGATGAGGGTTCAAGCACGACGAGGTCAATTAACGAGAATTCCGTGGCCGGGAAAAGGGTCGGCGCTGTCGTGGCTGCGACAGATCCCAATGGCGACACATTGACCTATTCATTGGCGTCGGGAGCGGATGCCGACA